AGCCAGAATCTGTAGTATATGTTTATATGGATTCCTGGGGAAATTATGATAGATTCAATATTTTACAATAATGATGGACAAAATTCTGTAATAAAGTAGATCTTATTAAAACAAAAGTATTGATATTGTCTATTAATAAAGCTTAACCACTAAAAGGGTTTAGCAACACCACCACAGTTTAAAAGTATACCAAAGTTAATCAAAATATAACAGTCCTTAATTTTCAAGGGCAGCTTCCTTTAAATATCTGATGAGAAATACAGTAGAACTGTTATCTCCAAATTAGACCTGTAGGTAAAATGATAATATACTGTCACAAGTTGCTGAAATTCATAAAACATGAATTGGATAACATGCTACAGTTTGTAATATACAGGCTAATCCATGACAAGAGTCTATTCTACAATGAGCAAAAGTAAAGGAGATGTGGCTAAGACAGTACATGTTTGCTCAATACTTATACAATTAATTATATTATATGTCAAAAATCAATATATAGTTTTGCTTCCATCAGTTTTAATGCTTTATAGCCATTTTATAGCAAAAAAAACATGAATAAATGTGTGTGCATTGTACAAAAAAAAGTATGCTTCACAAAGAGTACAATTGCTAAAATTTCTGTACACTTTATTGACTGCCTTAATAGGTCAGTTTGGTATTCATGCTGAAGTTTTTATTATAACTTAAAAATGCAGGATATATCATAACCATTTATATTTTCAAGGTCTTTCAACTGGAAGTTTTCTATGCCTGATTTCCTAATGTAGGCAATTAATAATATTTCTTCCAGAAGTTTGTTATTATTTATCTTCTCTTACACATATATTCTATGATGAAGATTCATTAATCTTAATCTTGTTTTAAAAGTACTTGTTGCTTGTCCACAACTCAACATAGTGTATTTTTCGGGGATTTTTCATTTTTGAAAGCAAAAATTCTATTAATGCTGACATTTTTGCAAATGCAGCAGCAAAAATACTCATTCACACAAACCACACACACATACACACAGAGAGAGTGAGAGAGACCCTGAGAAGAATAGTAGAATATGAAAAGAAAATGCTCATTCCTTGTTTTCTCTGAAGAAAAAAAGAGGAAACTCATGGGACACAAGTCAATTTCACTGCTGAAATTTTCTCTTTACAAAGGGAGCTGTTAAACTAGCTTTGGGTTATAGCATCTCAATTGTCTAGAATACTTTCCAATGGCATATAGAGCAGCGGTTCTCAACCTATGGGTCGCGACCCCATTTGGGGCCGATCGACCATTTCACGGGGGTTGCCAAGCAAGGCTGTCCGCCTTTTTTTCCCCCCTTTTCCGGCGGGTGCCTTACCTCCCTTGAGCTGGGCCAGCTGGTGGTCGGCCTGCTCAGTCTCTGCCGCTTGCCAGCTATGCCTCGGCCGGCACAGGGGGCGGAACCACGCATGCGTGGCGCTCCTGGGCAGGGAAAGTCCTCGACTTACGACCGGTTTAGTCCTCGACTTACGACCGGTTTAGTCCTCGACTTACGACCGGTTGGGGGTCGCGGCATTAAAAAGGTTGAGAACCACTGATATAGAGTGATATTACCATCACCATACAAAAAAACAAATATATTTATTTATTTATTTATTTATTATTTATTAATCGCATTTATACCCCGCCCTTCTCCTAAAGGACTCAGGGTGGCTGACAGCCAATTTAAAACAGAATAACAATACAATATACAAATTTAAAATGTGGTTAAAATAAAATATTAATATAGGCCTTTCTTTTTTAAAATTATTTAAAAAACCAGATTTAAAATACCCCTTAGGCCAGTCCTGCCAGCTGAAATAACCATGTCTTGAGGGCGCGGCGGAAGGAGGGGAGATCCGGAATCACCCGGATCTCTGGGGGTAGTTCGTTCCAGAGGGTGGGGGCTCCAACAGAGAAGGCTCTCCCCCTGGGGGTCGCCAACCGACACTGTCTGGTTGACGGCACCCTGAGGAGACCCT